GAGAGAAAAATATGTGGACCTAATTTGAAACATGCAGTTCAAATTGAGTCATTTTTGTTTTTTATTTTACTTATTCAAATTATATTTTTTAACTGGATCATATTTCTACATGTTTATTTCAATTATTTCATATCAGTTTACCTATATAATAGTAATAATGTCTTTATTATGCGAGAATGATGAAGTTTCAAGGAGTGTAATTAATGTGAAAAATATTTTTTGTTGAATATCATAAATTATTATTTTAATTTAATTATATTTTCTTAAAAAACATATAGTATTTTGTACTCACAATCAATTATATGTTGTTTCCCGGAGTCACCGATTTTAACTCTATACGTATTTTATGTATATCAAGTTATAATTCACCTAAATTATTTTTAATGTCAAGTCGCGCAACGCGCGGGTCACGTACTAGTATATATTAAACTGAAGCAACTGGAAAAAAATTTGTTTTCCCTCCCATTTTATATTAAATATTACTCATTAATGGTTTGATAAAATCAATAAATATTGTCTAAAAATTAAAAGTCTTATTGGAATTGTGTAATAATATTATTGGGAATGTTGAATAAGTTGATAATTGTTTAGAATGTTGTGTTAATTCTACACATCTCTATACAACTAATAATTAGATCAAACAAAAAAACATAATGATTAATGTCAAATTTTCTATTAATTGTCCTCAATGGACGATTTTTTAAAATTTTAAAACCTTCCACTTTAGATATTTTAAATTATAAAACTATATTATGTTTTCATTATAAAACCACAATATAAGAGCCTAATGTAGTCTTAATTTAGTTATACATATTTCACAATTGTAGGTCATTTTGAAATTGTAAATTCGTAACCACATAATATAAAACCTAACATATATTTAATTATAATAATGCGGTAAAATAAAAGTTTATAGAATTTAAAAGATTAAAAGACATCATTTTTATAGGATGTCTTTATGTTTAATTCATTGAGTAAAATTTTCACTGCAAAAAATCATAAAAACTAAACAGAAAATTATAACATATTCTCAAAATTAAAAGTATATACATATCTATACAATTGAAATATCAATAAAAAATATTTTTCTTTCAAAACTTTATTTATGTTTATGAGATCGACATATTTGTATTGAA